CTGTCTATCTATCTATCTATCTATCTATCTAACTATCTATCTGTCTGTCTGTCTGTCTATCTATCTAACTATCTATGTCTGTCTGTCTGTCTGTCTATCTATCTATCTATCTATCTATCTATCTATCTGTCTGTCTATCTATCTAACTATCTATCTATCTGTCTGTCTGTCTATCTATCTAACTATCTAACTGTCTGTCTATCTATCTATCTATCTGTCTATCTATCTATCTATCTATCTATCTATCTATCTGTCTGTCTGTCTATCTATCTATTTGATAGTTTCCTAATGGGATCTAAAGGTGTTCTACAGGAAACTAGTGGTCTCTACTGGAGACCATTAAGCTAATTCCCATTAGAAAGCAAAAGCATTAGGTTTCAATCCTAATGGTTTCTAATGAAGTTGTTATTCTAATGAAGGTGAAGTCAGAAAGCCTTGAGATCATCACCAAAGAAGACGGCCAAAGGAGTCAAGAACACAACAAACTACACCAGGGGTCCTTAATTAAAATTCAAAAAGGTCCAGTTAAAGAAAACTTCCTCAAGCAAAGGTCCGGAACATCATAATTATGATTCAGTGGCACAAACCGAATCCTGAAGTAGCCTAGTAGTTATATCAGCAGCAAGTCAGTGGTCAGCAACTGAACGTCAAATCAAATTAAGAACAATTTAATAATATTTCATCAATATTTGTCAGTTTTCACCCTGAATTGGAACAATAAATACTCCAAATAAATATTCTGTTCTCACTTCAAGTAAAAACAAGGGCTGCATTTAAAAAATAAAACAGAAAGCTTTTGAAAAAATGTGCAGCTGAAAGTGCTTAATTTTAGAAAAAGTGAATAGGAAGTGTTTGAGTTGCACTTTTTCATCATTTTTGTTAACTCAGTTTCACATCTTAACAGTATGAACCGATTTATAATAAAAAAGTCTCGCACCCCGCAGCTGAACAGCTTCAACACCTTTCTCTTTCTTTGACTCTTGGCGATTCTCGACTCATATCGCCCGTGTGTGCGTGTCACTGGAGCCGGTTTACTACAAGTTTTCAACAAGTTCTCTGGTTCTCACTTGAGTTGCTGCGCTCATCGTGAGGCACAGATCTGATTGGATGAGTAGCATCTCATGTGATTTTTATAACGCATGCGATTGGTGTGTGAGTTTCCTGGGCCACTAAATCAGTTCCGTAAATGCTTGAAAAATTACAACATTTAAAATAGAAATACTCCGTCAAAATTAACGTCTGGGTCTGGACCCGGACCGCGGTCGGCCTATTAGTGACCTCTGAACGACACCAACAAACCTGGCAGTTGAAAACTTCAAGTTGAACCTGTGACAGGATTCTGGCTGAAAGCTCACTAGAATAAACATTAGAATTGGTTGAAAATCTATTAATATACAGAGTGAAACTGTAAGTAGTTACAGAGTGAAGATCCCCACCTACAATATGGATTTATGAGGAGTTGCTAGCTAGCAAGCTAACTTTAGGTTTACATGAGGTAACATTAATGTTAGCTAGCTGATGAACTACGTTAACTATTTCAGTCTGAGAGTAAATATTCGCAAAACTTCACAGATACTGAGAGTGTAAATGAGTGACAGGTAGAAATAACGTGACTGACATGCTCTTTGTTTTTATATTTCTCACCAGTGTTTGAAACAATCACAGCAGTGTTAGCCATGCACTTCTGTTTACAGTAACATTACATTAATGTCAGTGAAAGGTTCACAGTGTTGATCATGATGCAGCTTTATATCGCTCTCAGTTCCTCAACCTCTAGATGGGTATACAAAATTTATTTCAAGTAAAAAAAGTTGATCTCTCTTGTAAATCTGTGCAATCAAATAGTGCAACAATTCTAGAATAACGTTTCTCAACGTAAAATAGCAAAGAACTTTTCATCATCTACGGTACATAATATCATTAAAAGATTCAGAGAATCTGGAGAAATCTCTGTATGTAAGGGACAAGGCCAAAAAAAGAAAAAAAAACTTATTAAAAAAATCAGGATCCAGAAATGCTGCTGTCTTCTCTGGGCCCAAGCTCATTTAAAATGGACGGAGGGGAAGTGGAAAAGTGTCCTGTTGTCCGACGAATCAACATTTGAAATTCTTTTTGGAAATTCTGGACACTGTGTCCTCCAAGCTAAAGACCACTCAGCTTGTTATCAGTGCACAGTTCTAAAGCCAGTATTCATGATGGTATAGGGGGCATTAGTGCACATGGCATGGGTGACGTGCACATCTGTGAAGGCACCATTAATGCTGAACGATATATACATGTTTTGGCAACATATGCTGCCATCCAGATGACGTCTTTTTCAGAGAAGACCTTGATTATTTCAGCATTTTTCAAAAAACAATAAAATTTCCCAGTTTCAACATTTGATTTGTTGTCTTTGTACTATTTTCAGTGAAATATTGAGTTTAAATGATCTGCATATCATTGCATTTTGTTTTTATTTACGCTTTGCACAGCGTCCCAACTTTTTTGGAAATGGGGTTGTACAACAGAATCCACTGCTCTACTCTCTCTACACCAATGACTGTTCTTCTACAGCGTTATTTACCTGTTTGCTTTCTCAGTGTATCTACCTGCCTTGCTTTTTGACCTTGTCTTTGAATTTCCCTTTAGGTGCTACCTGCTTATTTTGGACTGTCTACATTTTGTGAACTGTCTGTCTCACTTTGGACCCTGGCCTGTTGTTGGATTAGGTTTCTGGCTCACCCTTTTGCTATTAAAGCTCACGCTTTTACTTTCTTCCGCAAGCGTCTGACCAGTTATTGGAGCGTAACACTTTCCCACTGTAACTTGTAACACATATATATTTTATAAATATATTTACATTTGTTGCTCAGTTCTCTTAGCTGTACACAGTGTATATACTGTATCTCTACTACAGTACCTGGTTGTATCTCCATTGCACGTCATTTTACTTACAGTTTGCTTGTGTGCTGTCTGTTTGATGTTTATATCTAGCATGTTTTTTCTATATTTTATATAATTTCATGCACCAAATTCCTTGAACATCTGGTATTTAGTAAATAATGATTCTGATTCTGATGGGTAGTTGGAGCACCACAGACCGTAGGCTCACAGAGCAAGTGAAAACAGACTTCTTCTCATTTCACAGTCCAGGCAAACAAGGAAGCACTCCATTCTCTTTCGCCATAACTGCTGCTCACCTGTGCATCTATGGTACCACGATATACACACCACATTTTAGGAATAAGCCACACACGGATATAACTCCTACAGCATAGTCGAGTGGTTCTTCTGCATGAAAAACTTTTAAAATGTTTGCGTATCGCGCCTAAAGGATTCCACTACTGTTACAAGTCATAGAGCCCTTTTTATGAAGAGTGTAGCTGTAAAACTCCTGCTGGGAGCATTTTCCCTCTTCTAACGCTCTGAATTCAGTTCATTTAGCTCTTACTAATCAGCTGATGACTTTTTTATGACGGTTTAATCTGCTGAGCTGTGACCCTGCGTTTTAGATGCTGAAACAAATCTGATCGTAGAGCTTTATTGCTCACTCTTATTTACATTTTAGGCATTTGAAACCATTCAGACTGAAATGCGTTAAAATTAAGACAAGCATACTTTGTTTATTTTGTATGCAAATTACAAAAATATTATCCCATAGTATTGCATGCAATGCACACAAAAACAAATTAATATACTACAATGCACAGAAGCATTACATGAACATTTCTATGTACAAACAATAACAAAGATACACATGTAACAACAAAATATACACACGTAGTCTTCTTACACATCCTGAATGTTATCTTAGTTAGTGGTCACTTGCATAAAACATAAGTTAATTTTGGTCTTAAGATTTCCATTTTACCTTAAGTGAACTGCAAAGGGCTGTTTCTCTTTCTTTCTTTCTTCTTGTTTTAAAAGGCACTGGGTAAGAATATAAAGAATCCTGAGCAGATTAACTTAAATATTTCATTCAAGGTGACAAAGGCACTGGTGCATCCTTCTCCACAGCTTCCAGCAGTGATTATCTATCTAGTATCTGTGGCTAAGTTCTGTTTTTGGGGAAGATGAGCTGAACCCACACTGAGGCCTTACAGCCAGTTCACGTGAAGCGTCCACTGCGAAAGTGTTCAGTCTTATCCACAGAAGGCCACAGGTTTTCATACCAAGCAATCAGTATCTTGTCTGTGTTTCACCAGTTGGTCTCAGTTTTCAACAGCTGATCAGGTGTTTTGTTGGAGTGAAAACCTGCAGCCACGAAAGACCTTTGCAGACAAGATTGGACACTGCTGGTCCATAGAATGGAGAAGGACTCAGCAATGCAGCTGCAGCTACAGTCAGATATAATCAAACAGCTTTCGGCTGAACATCACTTTGATAAAATAGTGAGATCGATGTGGAGCTTATCTGACATACTTTCTCTGCCGACCATCAGTCCACTATAAAAGCAAACTAAGCTAAAAAGGTCCATGAATGAATCCAGAGGTGTCAAACTGGGTTCCTGGAAAAGAGCACTTGCCCTGCAGAGGATAGTGTTCTCTTTCTTCTAACAGTCAACTGAATTCAGCTGGTGAAGATAATCAGAGAAGGAGTTGAATTAGATGTGTTTAATGAGAAGGAAGGCTGAAGTCTGCAGAGCTGTGGCCCACCAGGAAAGGATTCTGACACGTCAGCTAGACAGACTCAGGAGAGTATGTGTTAGAGTATGATAGTCCAGCATAGTTTGGCGGTTTAAACACTCAAACACACAAACTAAACATCGCAATGAACATGTGAGTTGAATCAGGAGTGTCTGAGTACGAAAATAACCAAACTGGGCTGGACACCGGCCCTCCGGCTTTAGACCAATCACAACAGGGGCTTCTTTTTTAAAAGTATATCGCTGCTGTCGGAAGAAAACCTCGTATCTCCATTTTTGTCGTTTTTCAGTTTTTGACATAATCTGAAAACGCCTGTTGTCCTTTACATTGTATGTAAATTTCATGATGAATGGACTAAAAGAAACGGCCCAAAATGACCTGGAAAAAAGTCTGGTTCCATTGACTTACATTAAAAGAAATGTAGGTTTTTTCCTTCTCCTGTAAAGTTACCATTTTGGAGGTTTTCTTCCGACAACAGTGATATGCTGGAACATGGCTTAGAATGGGTTTATTACCATTATATTAACATCCTGCAAAAAAGATATATGCTTGTTTCATGTACAGTAAAACTGTACAGTTAATTGCCTTTAGATATTATCTACCTACATTATTTTTTTCATAACATTAGCAAGCTCATTATATTCAGTACTGGAATCAGTATATTCAAGTATTACAATCAATGAAATCATACTGAGTACAGCACTGAAGCAGAACTAAACACAACAGTGTGGAGTGGAGAAATTAGTGAAACGGGCTCTACATGTACAGGTGGTGTTGTAGACCCCGCTGTGCCCACTCACTAAACATCATCCAGTTCTTATATGTAGAACCTTAAAGAAGGTGCATATTCAAACAAATGGAAGAAAGAACGTTCTGGATAACTCTCTGTTTCTCTCTGTAAGCTTCACACACACACACACACACACTCACGCAGTCTATTTAAAAGAGAAGAGAAAGAGAGCAAGAGAAAGACGGAGAGAGATCAGGAACTATCTTGCTTCAGCTTATTAGTGAGGGTTGACAGGCTCTTCATATTTTCTGCACCGTGGTTGTTTAGTCCATTGCTTTCACATCTCTTCTGGAGGAGCAGATTTCTTCTCCACAACCACATATTCACTCCCCATAATGCTACACACACAACCAGCAACAGGACGAACGCCCAGACTGGCACAGCAGCTCCCTGATCTCCGCACACACAGGGCTGTTCATCTACAAACAAAAACACACAAAACATGTGATACTGTTAGTTTTATGTACACTGTCTGACTCCAGATAGATCTGTTAAGACCTCATGCAGCAGTTTCACACTGTATTGTGATTAATCAGTCCTACACTAACACATTAAGAATGCCTGGGTAATTAACACAGGCTCTCTATGGCAGTACTAAGCGTACTAAGTGGAGCACTGGCAGATGCTCCATCTGTGGTGGATTTAAGAGGACTCATCAATTTGTCTCTGTACTTCAGAGTCATCGCCATCATCTGGTAAAATATCACAACAGTGTCACAACGCAAGATCTCAACCTGAAGATAAACACACTTCAGCAGAAACCACTGATTTAGGATCTGAATAAACCAGGCCCAGATCGTCAAATTATAGGCCCCTGAACACAAATCTGTGGTGGGCCCCTATCTGGAACCTTTTTTTCCCATTTTGTCCAGGAGGAACTGTGTTGATCTACCATGGGTCTCACAAAGCAGGGTTTATGGTTTAGCTAGCTACGTTTAAGATTGGTTTGATCTAGCTCTGGATTTTCTGTCTCATAATGGTGAATAAATAGTGTAAATTAAGCGAAGGCTCGGCATCAGAATTTTGATTTGGCATAATACAAGGTTAAAATGTTTTTGCTGTGCTGCCAGTAACGTCAGAGAATGTGAAGTGAGGAGTTCTGCCACTCAATAATGTCTTCTTTTTTCTAGAAAAAATGCACATTTTCTGAACACAGAACAGAACACAATATTTTAACACTGCTCATATTTTTGAGCGCCCCTGAGCTCCAGCTATAGAACATTACACAGGTGCCTCATGTATGTTCATCAGTGAGCATGACCTGCTTCACTCAGCCAATGAACTGCTCCGCTCGCCAGCCAATCAGCAGACAGTAGTAGTAATGCCAACCAGTCAGCGCTCAGTAGCAGTAATGCTAACCAATCAGCACTCAGCAGCAGTAATGCTAACCAATCAGCTCTTCATAGCAGTAATGCTAACCAATCAGCTCTTGATAGCAGTAATGCTAACCAATCAGCACTTAATAGCAGTCATGCTAACCAATCAGCTCTCAGTAGCAGTAATGCTAACCAATCAGCACTCAGTAGCAGTAATGCTAACCAATCAGCTCTCAGTAGCAGTAATGCTAACCAATCAGCACTCAGTAGCAGTAATGCTAACCAATCAGCTCTTAGTAGCAGTAACGCTAACCAATCAGCGCTCAGTATCAGTAATGTTGACCAATCAGCGCTCAGTAGCAGTAATGCAAACCAGTCAGCACTCAGTAGTGGTAATGATAACCAATCGGCACTCAGTAGCAATAATGCTAACAAATCGGCACTTAGTATCAGTAATGTTGACCAATCAGCACTCAGTAGCAGTAATGTTGACCAATCAGCACTCAGTAGCAGTAATGTTGACCAATCAGCACTCAGCAGCCGTACTGCTAACCAATCAGCAAATAGTGCTGCACCCCACAGTACAGGTGTGATTCTGATTAACTGCTGCTCATTTAAATTGATTAAAAATTATTCTTGAAAGAATGAAGTTTAGCGTTTTTAGGGCTGTTAATTTTACCTAAGCCAGCAGTTGATGCTAGTAGACCGAATGTGCCACACAGCATAGGCTCGGTTCCAGCTAACCGAATCTAAAATGACCCGTTTAGAGGATATCTGAGAGTGCAGAGTGACTGGTGTCGGCATGAAAGCTGAGCATGTTCTGTGGTGAGTGGAGCTCTTATTTGTAGCTGAGCTGCTATCATGCTCTTTCAGAGGTTTCACCTATCTCTGATTTTTCCCCTCTTTCTGTAGCACCACCTATCAGTGAGCCCCCACACCACCAATCAGTGATCCCCCCTAAAAAATTGGTGTAATGGGTTTATTTGGCTGTTCAGACGTGGAATAGATATCGGATCCTTTTGAAATACTGTCATTATTTTTAAATAGCAACATTTTATTTCAGTAACACTGCAGTACCTTAGGGCTGTTATACTGCCCAAACATAGTCTGGACAAACACCATAATCGCTGACAGATAAACACCACCATTAAAGCCATGGCAAAGGTTTCCTAAACTGGTATTTCTCACTGTAAATACACTGTAAAAATACTGACTTCGCTAATAAATGCCTTTGGCGCAGACCCATCAGCTTAACACACTGACACAAGGCCTGGCCAGTATAATGAATAATAATACAATATTCTGCTCTATTTGTCACAAAATATTTCAAAATTACAACTACATGAATTTATACCAATAATATAGCAAATAAATAAAAATAAACTTGCAATTTTCAATTCAAATAAACATTGTAAATTCCTGATAATAATTGCTAGTGGCAGTTTAGCTAGCAGGCTATAGCTCAGAACAAGCTGAGACAGTTTCAGTAACTGATGCTCAAGACAGCGGGAACTGAACCTGTCCCACGGTGTGTTGAGCTGTTAGCCTGTTAGCTTCAAGTTTTGAGCTGTTTTAAGACTAATAGTGTAATAGTTTTGATTTTGCTCTGATACACCTCATCAGCTAATGTACAAACTGCTCATACAAGCTTTTCGGCCACCATCAGAGATGCTTTTCCGCTTAGTGCTCTGGTTGTGAAAATAAAGGTGCAAGGAATGACAACTTTGGAAACATAAAAACAAAGTAGTTGTGTGAAACCCTCATCCCTTTTGGTAATATCATACATGGAGGTAAAATCTGTTAGACAGCATGAAAAAACAGACACTTTTCAACTCTACTGCTTAAGCTGCACAATTTACATTAGATACATACCCTGAACGGTCACTGTGTAGATATGAATGGCCTCCTTATTAATGTCCATTATAATATAATTGCCCCTGTCAGATGGAGTCATTTTTCTCAGTTCAAGGGCAGATGTTATTAGTGACACTCTGTGTGTGTATTCAGGTTTACACTGTAGTGAGTTTCCATTCACTGTACAGATCTGATCGCTGGATGGTCCAGCTGGATCTGTGCTGTTATAAATCACCTCCACTGGATCTGATACGTCCAACTTCATCAACAGAGATTCACCAGGCTCTATCTGAACTGAAGTTTTTAAGGCTGAGGAGAAAAATATAATCACTTGCAAATCAGATACAAAGCATTATACTTGAATCACTGCGGTATAGTCAGCAATATTCAGTCAAGAAAGTAGTTCAAAACGTACGCTCAACCTGAAGATCCCAGTGATATATCTCTCTACCATCACACTGACACGTGTACCAGCCTCTCTTAGTGAAATCAGCGTCAGTGATGGTGAGAGAGAGATTCCCCTTCAGGTACTGATCATGGATCATCTGATATCCCTCCTTCACTGATCTACATGAAGTCTGATCACACTCAGCCAGAACATCAGTGGGTTTAGTGAACACAGTCCATCTGACCAAACCAGAGCATCTCTCAGAGCAGGGCAGAGTAGCAGAACCAAGAAACCCCACCTTTACCAGAGGAAAAGCTGATTCAGACACTGAAAGCAAAAAATAAATAAATAAACAAAAAAACAGTGTGTTAAGAGGAGTTATTATGCCTTAATTAATTCTTCTAAAGCATTAAATCATTCAGAGTGAAATATTTGTACTAATTAAACTAAGAGTTTAATTACAATATGCAGCCTGTTTCAATGCCTATTTTAAATTATAAACATGTCATTGCTGAGAAATGCCCACAAAACTGGTTCACAACCCAAAGTGAAAGTAAAATACAGTGAAATCTTTAAGATGATTAAGAAGTCCTTACCCGTAGTGAATGTAGAGATCAGTAAGATCAGGATACAGAGAGCGGAACTGCAGGACTGCATGACTGACCTACAGACACACACACACACACACACCATCAGTACTGACCAGGAGAGGAGAGAGAAAAGAGAAAGAGAGAACAGAACTGACCTACAGACACACACACCATCAGTACTGACCAGGAGAGGATAGAGAAAAGAGAAAGAGAGAACAGAACTGACCTACACACACACACCATCAGTACTGACCAGGAGAGGTGAGAGAGAAGAGAGAAAAGAACTGACCTACAGACACACACACACCATCAGTACTGACCAGCAGAGGAGAGAGAGACGAGAGAAAGAGAGAACAGAACTGACCTACACACACACACCATCAGTACTGACCAGGAGAGGAGAGAGAGAAGAGAGAAAGAAAGAACAGAACTGACCTACAGACACACAAACACACACCATCAATACTGACCAGGAGAGGAGAGAGAGAAGAGAGAAAGAGAGAACAGAACTGACCTACACACACACACACCATCAGTACTGACCAGGAGAGGAGAGAGAAAAGAGAAAGAGAGAACAGAACTGACCTACAGACACACACACACCATCAGTACTGACCAGGAGAGGAGAGAGAAAAGAGAAAGAGAGAATAGAACTGACCTACACACACACACCATCAGTACTGACCAGGAGAGGAGAGAGAAAAGAGAAAGAGAGAACAGAACTGACCTACAGACACACACACACCATCAGTACTGACCAGCAGAGGAGAGAGAGACGAGAGAAAGAGAGAACAGAACTGACCTACACACACACCATCAGTACTGACCAGGAGAGGAGAGAGAGAAGAGAGAAAGAGAGAACAGAACTGACCTACACACACACACCATCAGTACTGACCAGGAGAGGAGAGAGAGAAGAGAGAAAGAAAGAACAGAACTGACCTACAGACACACAAACACACACCATCAATACTGACCAGGAGAGGAGAGAGAGAAGAGAGAAAGAGAGAACAGAACTGACCTACACACACACACACCATCAGTACTGACCAGGAGAGGAGAGAGAAAAGAGAGAAAGAGAGAACAGAACTGACCTACACACACACACCATCAGTACTGACCAGGAGAGGAGAGAGAGAAGAGAGAAAGAAAGAACAGAACTGACCTACAGACACACAAACACACACCATCAATACTGACCAGGAGAGGAGAGAGAGAAGAGAGAAAGAGAGAACAGAACTGACCTACACACACACACATCATCAGTACTGACCAGGAGAGGAGAGAGAAAAGAGAAAGAGAGAACAGAACTGACCTACAGACACACACACACCATCAGTACTGACCAGGAGAGGAGAGAGAAAAGAGAAAGAGAGAATAGAACTGACCTACACACACACACCATCAGTACTGACCAGGAGAGGAGAGAGAAAAGAGAAAGAGAGAACAGAACTGACCTACAGACACACACACACCATCAGTACTGACCAGCAGAGGAGAGAGAGACGAGAGAAAGAGAGAACAGAACTGACCTACACACACACCATCAGTACTGACCAGGAGAGGAGAGAGAGAAGAGAGAAAGAGAGAACAGAACTGACCTACAGACACACACACACCATCAGTACTGACCAGGAGAGGAGAGAGAGAAGAGAGAAAGAGAGAACAGAACTGACCTACAGACACACACACCATCAGTACTGACCAGGAGAGGAGAGAGAGAAGAGAGGACACCTGCATCCAGTGCCTTAAACTTGTAAAAGTGTTTATGTGATCTAAGCTTTGTCTGTATTGTACTATTCATCACCATGAACAAAAACTCTGAACTTAAACAATCACAGAAACCATGTAAACACACTGGCACCACTGATTTAGCAGCTATAATTCCAACTTTAGACCAAAAATTACATTCGTAGTTTTCTCAATAATATAAAATGATGAAATGCTGATGTAGCACATCATAACTTTCAAACACTGCAGTAACACAGTAAAAAGTAATTTTGGTTACTTTTTTCTTTTTACTTTTGCCATGGTGATCAGGCGGAGCCTGTGAAAACTCAGCCCACACCATTACACTGGTAATGGATTTGCACAAATTGTTCCCTCTGGAGAACTATTTCAGCCTGTGAAAGAGCCAGTTATACAGATTAGCAACTTCATTAACAAATTAAGTTGTTTCAGTCATGTGACCTCTTTTTTGGTTTCCTACACTTGACTACCATTATAAATCTATATACAGTAGTTATCAATGTCCATTAACATAATTGTAATGTAATCCATTTTGGGCACAGTTCAAACACTGCCTTGGTAAGAGTGAATGACCATCTTGTGTCAGTAAATTCCAACTTCCTCATTCTTTTAAACCTGAGCGCTTCATTTGATACACTCTGTCAGACTGATCAGAAGAATGTCTGTTTATATCTAATACTGTATTCACCTTGTTTTAATTTTACTTTGTTACTGTGTCCCACAAGGATCAATCCTTGGGCCACTATCATTTAATATTTAGGTGTTATATCTGGGATATAGTATCTTTAGGAAATATGGCTTTGGCTCTCAAATTTACATCAGCACTAAGAATAACAAGGAGAGGCATTCATGTCAAATTGAAATGCTGTTGCTACAGTGACAAAATGACATTACTATAATGTGACATTATTATTATTATTATTTTATTATTGTTGTTGTTATTATTGTTATTAATGATGTGCATAATGCATGCCAAAATGAAAAGCAAAACCTCTTTTTAATTGTTTCCATGTCGCTTGACTTCACTGAAAAACAATGCATGAGGATTCACATTAAAAAAACAAAATGCTTAATTTATGTGAGCATTGAATACAATCCAGTTTGATATGTAATGAGTGCACGGCTTTAATGCTGTGTCAACGTAAAGTCAATGTAATGTTTTTTTACTTTTCATTTTGGCACATTTCCTGCACAGCACTGTAATCTTGTGGGTATTACACTGTTTTCACTACATTTCAATGAAGCAAATACATTTGGAGCACTACACAGTGAAATCAATATAAGTGTCCATTGTTTACATTTGAACATGGATTGCATTCAATGCAAATTAAAAGGATGATTTGCTTCTCATTTTGGCAGGTATTCTGCAGGTCACTATGGAAAAGTAATGGCATTTGTGCATTGCACTTCACGTTTTTCCACTGCAGTGATTGCATTTCAGTTTGGAATTATTTCCTTTCCATATTAACAAGAGGTCTGTTTGTGTTGCAGTCTCTGTTTCTGTGATATAAAAACCTACATGCAACAGAATTTCCTCCAGCTAAACTCGACAGTCATCTATTCTCAGTTTGGTTTTATGTTTTAGATATGTCATCTCTAAAAAATAAAATTGCTGGCATTACCTTAGTTTGCTATCTAGTGAAGTAAGTGGACCAGCCACAGGGTCATGAATGGCAATTGTGTTGATCAGTTTGATTGGTTTAGATTGCGTTCGCACAGTAAACACTGATGCAAACATAGTTAACAGTAAAAGTTGTATTTTTTGCTGCTCCGCCTGCTGCTGCCCAATCAAACAGAAAATGACAGTGTGGTCAAACAGCGACATCACATGAGACAAGTACATGCAGACAGTACAGATCTACTGTGGAAAAAAGCCACTCCGGAAACTTGCTCAAAATAAGTTTTAAGGAACACCTGCAGCTTTACTTCTCGTTTCACATTCACTGCTGAACAGGACCACCTGTTTCCTGTAGAACACCTTTAGATCCCGTTATAAAACCATCTGATTCATTTAGAATCAGCCACTGGTCACCTGTTAGACCATTAGGATTAGGAATGAGTTTAAATGATATCAACCCATTAAAAAAGCCAAGACACATTACAAAACCATCAGGAACCAACAGACACACTTAATGGTTTCTATGGGTTTTTTCAGCAGGGGCATTTTGGAGAGGAATGTGGAGAGGGCTGTTACATGGATTTAAGGATTAGAAGTGCATGAACAGGGTGTGTTTTAAGCACAAAAGCACAGCGTAGTCTGTTACATTAAATAAACACAATAAATCAATAAATGCAGAATGTAACTCACTGTACTGCTGCGCTTGATCTCCTGAGGGGGAAAACACGACGGTGGAAATACTGGTCCTCTCAAAGCTGCACTGTTACCTTAAAAGAAACGAGAGTTAGCAGAAAGCAGTAATTCCTACAGAAAAGGTGGTGTTGCAAAGAAGGTGGAATCTATGCTGAAGGAAGTCTGTTCACTTCCTATTTCTGCTGTTATATGAAAAACCATAGTTTCTAATGCCAGAGGGTGCGGCCCTCTGACTTTTAAATTATTATTTTAGTCTTAACACACACCAGATTTGATCATTTTCCTCTCCTGAGTAGTGTTGCTGCTTTCAATATTAACAAAATAATGATTTTAATTCATACAAAATTCCATTATATAAACCCAAGTCCAAAAACATTGGGACAGTATGTGAAATGCTAATGTGGAATGTTGGAATGTTGATGATGGAAAATAGTGGAAAATCTGAAATAATAAGTTTTCTTTGGGGACTATTTTGCCTCACAGCGCCCTGCATGTATCCCTCCACCATTTCATGTAATAACTTTCTGTGAGCTGGACGTCTGGTTCCTATCACCACCACTGTGAACAGTCTGTAAGTTTCTCACCAAAAAAAGTGAACGAAAATTTCTTTTTTGTGTGTAAAGAACCTTTTTAAAATTGAAAGAATCTACACATAATGAATAAAGAACCTTTTTATTTTTAAGATCATATATTATAAGATTTTATAACCTGTAAATTTAGGCTGAATTATTTCTAATTTAGATATTGAATCAAGACTGTCCTTTATGAATGGATGTTTTAAATGCGTGTAATGTAAGATTTCCTCAGTTTGACTCTAATCAAAGAAACAACGAGCCGTGAAGAGCTACAGTCAGATCGATTTTAGAGCTTCAGCATAAAGAAACCAGTTGTTCATGTTTTTTGAGAAGTGGAGATTGTATTCAGGTATCTGACTCTTCTCTGTTCCTAAAATTAAGTGGAAGTCAGGTGTGTCAGTTTAACACACAAAGAGAGAAGAGCAGAGTTCTGTACTCCACAAGGTCAGTCTATTTTACAATTATATAGAATACATACATATACATACATCTTCTAAACCGCTTATCCTTCTGGGACGCGGTGGGGTGCTGGAGCCTATCCCAGCTGTCATTGGGCGGAAGGCAGGATACACCCTGGACAGGTCGCCAGTCCATCGCAGGGCAGACAGACAGACATATACATTCACACCTAGGGGCAATTTTAGCATGTCCAATCGGCCTGACTGCATGTTTTTGGACTGTGGGAGGAAACCGGGGTACCCGGAGTAGAAACAGAATAATGACACTGGTGTTCAGATGAAAGCAAAACACGTATGTTCATATTCTGATAGACAGTGCTTTTCTCTTCAGCTTCTTAGAAAACAAAATATAAACCAAAACTAGCGTAGATAATATAAACTGTATGATCTGTGTTTGAGACTCAGACGGACTCGTTTCCTTCCTCTATAACTTTGTGCTGCTTTTGTAGCTGCCTGTGTTGTCAGGTTTCTGGTGAAATAGAGTCGAATCTGTCACTATTGATTAACATTAAGAGTTCTAGACTGTAGGATTGGATGAAAAACATGAATCAGCACCCTGGACTCTTCACTGTATTAATACTGTTTCACTTTTTTCTACTTATTACTGCTGAGGTTTAAAAATGTCTGCCAGTCTATTTGTTTGTTTGTTTTTGTGTTTGTTTGTTTAGACAGCTGTTGGAGCTGACTGAGCAAATAAACCGGCAGCAATTTTTACAGCTACACTTTATAGAAGTTTCACGATGTGTCAAATGTTGCACTGCATTCAGCAGAACTCTCTAATCCTTTTCTACACTGTTTAGGTGACCAGTTCTGCCTGACATCCACTCTTTAAAAGTTAGTGTGTGAAATCAGTGTTTAATGTGAGGTGGCTGTATTGGTCAGTCACTGTCACTGGACAGTGTAATCCAAGTACACAGACACGTCCTGTTTAGGCTGTAACTGTTACGACGCTGCATACACAGCAAAGACAGATAAAAAGGAATCTCAGTTTTACTTGACTGCTTAAACAAAGTTAGTGAGTTCCATTCTGAAGGCAGCTGCCTAACACTGCCTTCAGAGGCGGCTCTCTTGTTGGACAGCATTTTAACTGAAATGGAACCTTAGTAGGCATCGCATTCAGGACAGAGCTTCAGAGCCATCACACGTCAACTTTCACTGCACTGTATACGCTTTATCTGTTTATTCGCAGTCACCAGTTAGTTTATACGCACCTCTGACTAAAGGGGGATCATCTCAGTGAAATAAGGTCTGAGTCTGTAGCAGCTGTTTTCCTGCATTGACACTGTGGTGGAAGTTTGTGTATGAAGAAGAGGCTGCTGTAAGGAGTCGTTATATGCAAAAAAATGCTGCCTATTTAGACAGCTGCCTCACGATTGGAACGCAGCAAGTGTCTCTGCTCTCTAAATCACATGTCCATGCTCAAAACACTAGAGCATTTAGCAAATTGTCCCACACTGAGAGTTAAATTAACCATGAAAACCCTAAAAATTAAATATTCACATCCAGACACCAAACTGTATTTAAATATAATTATTTCATTACACACTGAAATACTTCAGCAGTACCAGTAACCAGTTTGTATTTTACAGCACTCATTCATGCAGGGAAGTTACACTGTACGTTACACTGTAAAACAAGGGCTGTATTATAAAGTGTTACTGAGGTTTGCTACACCGACACAAGTTCAAAACACCTGATCTGAAATGCAATAAAGTAGACCAAGTTTCATTTTCTCCATCAGAGTAAACGTGTAGACATAGCATCACAGACTGTGAAACTGACGCCAGCATCAGTGCTTTTATGGTTTAACAGAATCAGACAGGGTAAAGCCAAACCCCACCATCTACCAGTTCATATAAACTACCACACTACCATACACTTCTCATAACTTTAATAACCTTTTTACTTTATAAATAATATGTAAAATTAGTTTTTAAACACCTTCATTAACTATTAAGGAGTCTCTCTTTCATAATAAATAATACACAAATCAACAAGTGTGTCTTTAACATGTCTTTAAATGAGGAAAGATAGGAGGCATCCCGAATAGACTTTGGGACAGCATTCCATCATTTGGGAACAGTAAATGATGGACCATCCATAGATGTCAAGTTAAACCTTGGAACATGGAGAAGGGCTCAGTTATTTGCAGAAATCCTCAAATACTAAGGGACAGGATGGGACATATAAATGAAGATGCTCAACTAGGTAATGAAGACCTAAGCTGTGCAGAGCTTTATATGTAATGAGAAGAAACTTGTACTTAACATGGAATGTAACAGGTGATCAGTGAAGACTCTGAAGGACAGGGTGACCTGGTCAGTCTTCAGAGAATAGGTGAAGATCAGTGGCACACTGTAACCTACTGGAACTTTAGCAGGGAGGATAGATGGGAGAACATTACAGTAGTTTTAACAGATTTCACTAATTCATGCTCACATGTTTCAACATATGTAAGGCTGAGGATGGTGACAAGCAATAATATGAAGATGAAAAAACATTGTCTTAACTTTAGAATTGATATGTCAAAGGAACGTTTGGGGTCAAAGATAACTTGACTGTGTATGCAGGCAGAAAGTATCACCAACATCCCCTCAATATTGATGCCAAGGCCAGGTAAACTAGATAGGAGGGAAACATGAGAGTGGCTGGGTGATATTAGGGGAAAAGAAATCAGGGAGGGAATGACGGAAAGAAGTGAGGGGAAAGCAGATCGGGTCAATTTTATGCTAAAAAGTAAGCAAAGTCACCGTATAATTTATCTTGACCAGAATAAGCTACAGCAGGTGGCTGCAGGAGTTTGTTAATAGTGTTGAAAAAGGTCCTGGACCAGCATGAGCTACAGCAGATGAACAGGGATAGGAACACAGAACAAGCCCTACTTAAAGCAGACATTATCTATAGATATAGACATTTGATCTGCGTAGGCCAGAGAGTTTTTCTATAAAGTCATTCAACACATCTGCCAGTGGCTCTCACATCATGGAGCTCAATGGTAAATGACAGTAAGGAGTGGGAGGACAGCAATAGCCTTTTTTTTAATAGGTGAAAGTATAATATACAGTATCTCACAAAAGTGAGCACACCCCTCACATTTCTGCAAATATTTTATTATATCTTTTCATGGGAAACACTATAGAAATTAAATGGATATAACTTAAAGTAGTCAGTGTACAGCTTGTGTAGCAGTATAGATTTACTGTCCTCTGAAAATAACGCAACACTCAGCCATTAATGTCTACATAGCTGGCAACACAAGTGAGTACACCAGGTGTGAATGGGGAGCAGGGCTGTTACATTTGTTTTGGGTACAATTCGCTCATACTGGCCACTGGATAGTCAACATGGCACCTCATGGCAAAGAACTCTCTGAGGATGTGAGAAATAGAACTGTTGCTCTCCACAAAGATGGCCTGGGCTATAAGAAGACCTAACACCCTGAAACTGAGCTATAGCACGGTGGCCAAGGTCATACAGCGGTTTTCCAGGACAGGTTCCACTCTGAACAGGCCTCGCCAGGGTCGACCAGAGAAGTTGAGTCCACGTGTTCAGCGTCAAATCCAGAGGTTGGCTTCAAAAAACAGACACATGAGTGCTGCCAGCATTGCTGCAGAGGTTGAAGAAGTGGGAGGTCAGCCTGTCAGGGCTCAGACCATACGCCGCACAATGCATCAACTCGGTCTGCATGGCCGTCGTCCCAGAAGGAAGTCTCTTCTGAAGCTGACGCACAAGAAAGCCCGCAAACAGTTTGCTGAAGACAAGCAGTCCAAGAACATGGATTACTGGAACCATGTCCTGTGGTCTGACGAGACCCAGATAAACTTGTTTGGCTCAGATGGTGTCCAGCATGTGTGGTGGTGCCCTGGTGATGAGTACCAAGACAACTGTCTCTTGCCTACAGTCAAGTATGGTGGTGGTAGCATCATGGTATGGAGCTGCATGAGTGCTGCCGGCACTGGGGAGCTGCAGTTCATTGAGGGAAACATGAATTCCACCATGTACTGTGACATTCAGAAGCAGAGCGTGATCCCCTCCCTTCAGAAACTGCGTCGCATGGCAGTTTTCCAACATGATAACGACCCCAAATACACCTCCAAGATGACAACTGCCTTGCTGAAGGTAAAGGTGATGGACTGGCCGAGTATGCCTCCAGACTTAAACCCAATTGAGCACCTGTGGGGAATCCTCAAGCGATAGAAAGAGGAGGAGCACAATGTGTCTAACATCCACCAGCTCTGTGATGTCATCATGGAGGAGTGGAAGAGGATTCCAGTAGCAGCCTGTGCAGCTCTGGTGAATTCCATGCCCAAGAGGGTTGAGGCAGTGCTAGATAATAATGGTGGTCACACAAAATATTGACACTTTGAGCACAATTCGGACATGTTCACTGTGAGGTGCGCTCACTTGTGTTGCCAGCTATTTAAACATTAAAGGCTGTATGTTGTTCTTTTCAGAGGACAGTAAATCTATACTGCTATACAAGCTGTACACTGACTACTTTAAGTCATATCATAGTTTCATTTCTATAGTGTTTCCCATGAAAAGATATAATAAAATATTTGCAGAAATGTGAGGGGTGTGCTCACTTTAGTGAGATACTGTATATAAAGACGCTCTCATCCAGAGGGACTTACAAAAGTGCTTTGTTGTCCACTCAGAGAAAGTATCTAGGCTAGAACAAATAGGACAGAGTCCTACTCTTGAGTTCAGACACTGCAAGACACAAGAGTCAGTGCTAATACCTAGAAAGACAGATACAGGGTTAAACACAGCATAAGAGCTACACAATATATTTCAGTAAGTCCTTAGATTAGTGCTCACTTAAAGGGGACCTATTATGATTATGATTTTCTTTCCTGTAGTTTGTTGTAGCTTTTTGTACAGTGTAAATGATCAGCATGCCCTCACATAACGCACAGAGAGCTAACAAAGTAAAAACTGACCATTCTGACAATCTCAAAGATAAACTCAACACAAAGATAAAAGCTTTTAGAAAAAGACAGTAAATAGCTGGATTCTTTTTACAGTTCTATATCATATTTTCATAGGCAATGTAAAAATATTGGTTTGGGGGTCAGGATGTGAACAGTAAGAGATTATCTTCAGTATCTCTCTCTCTCTTTCTCTTTATCTCATCTCTCTCTCTCTCTCTCTCTCTCTCTCTCTCTCTCTCTTGCTGTCTGAAGTCCATTAAACTGTATTTTAAAGTGGTAATATTTAATATTAAACTGTTGTATCCGTTGTTCCATTGAAATGATGGTGTTAGAAGCAGCATGTGTAAAAGCTGAGAACTAAACAAATTTAGTACAATGATAAATACACATTTTTAAGACAATTATTTTCCAGTGCCTCGTGTCTGTAATGTGGCTAGTGTCTTTGATGGATGCAGTAAAGTTCAAAATAACCCTAAAACTTCTTCCTTTCTGTTTTTTTAACTTGCAATGTTTAGAGCAAATGAATGGTCATTTTTTATTTATCTCCTGGTCAGTACTGATGGTGTGTGTGTGTGTCTGTAGGTCAGTCATGCAGTCCTACAGTTCTGCTTTCTATATCCTGATCTACCTGATCGCTACTTTCACTACGGGTAAGTTTGTGTAAGAAGTGACCTTCTTATAAATTTCACTTCTGTATTTCACTTTAGTTTGTCAGATTTACTGCTGCTTCTCTAAATGATGACAATGATAAATTGATACACTGTTCTGTGAAAAAGTAAGTCATTGTCACGCCCCCCTCCGGCACGGCTGGAACTGCAGCTGATGCAGCTGCCTCAAACTAAGATTCCCAGAACCCCTCGCTGCCTCACATGACGCAGGACTCCTACTGATCAACCTATCAGCACTCAGCTTCACCGGACTTCTGATTACACACACAACTGTTCTTAATTTTATGTAATTATTAGTTTAGTATATAAGCCCGGGCTTTAGCTTAGACCATTGCAAAGTATCATCTCAATATGTGCATACCGAGCATTTCTCCATTGTCTGTTTTATCTTCTTCCTTTGTATGACCTGTTTTTCCGTCCTGACCTTGATTTTTGTCTTGCCCTTTTGTCTTGTTGTGGATTTCTGGTTTTTGGCTTCTTGCTTTCGTTTTTCGACTGTGATTTTGGATCATCGCTTTGTTATTAAAGATCTTAACTCTAGCTTTGTCTGTGAGCGTCTGGTTCCGTCTGCCACCGTTACAGGATACTTCCCTGCATGCAGATGGTGGACATTGAGGCTGTTCAGAAGATCTTGAGCAATTAAGGTTAGCTTCTGGGACATCACCAGCAGGTATTGGCAGGGGTTACTCAGTCTGTAGGTGACCTCACCCAACAACAAGCTGAACAGCAGGCCCAGCCCTCTCAACTCCTAACTGTTATCAAAGACATTTCTGCTCAACTGCGTAACCTCTCTGTTTGTTCACCAACTCCTGTCACCATCTCAGTCTCACATACGAATGCGACCGCCCCAGTGAGTGTTAATACTTTTTTTCCAGTAAGCAAACCCGATAAGTTTGATGGATCTCCAGACTAGTGTCAAGGTTTTCTCCTGCAATGCTCTGTATTTTTCAGTAATCCCCATCTAGCATTGATCAGGCCAAAATAGCACTCGTCATCTAACTTCTCTCAGACAAAGAATTAGAGTGGGCAACTGCTGGGTGGTCTCGTATTCGAGACATGTCTTATGAACAATTTTTTGAAAGACTTTAAAACAATTTTCAACCATCCTCATAATGGTTACTCCAGGGAAGAGCTTTTGTGCAAGTTTAAACAAGGTAATCACTTGGAGGCAGCCTAAGCATTGTAGTTTCATACTCTGGCTGCAAGAAGTAGGCGGAACCTACAGAAGCAGAGAGAAACATCATCCATGACAATGTGGTGGCTCAGCTACAGACTCCCGTGTCCAACATCCCCGTGCAGGATGGAGAACCCGTTGGACTGGACCCAAATTCCTTCATCACTGAACCTCTTCAGCTTGAGGCTAGCTTTCTCCATAAAGAACAGTTATCCTTCTTATTGATAGACTCATCAGAGTTTTCCATCATCCTAGGTCTTCCTTGGCTCCAGAAACATGACCCCCAAATCTCTTGGTCCGCTCATGAAATTACCGCTTGGTCCTATAACTGTGAGTCCCATTGACCCATTGAACTGAAAGTCATGTCCACATCCATTGAAAGCCCAGACCCCACTCAGGTCACTCAAATTCCCCTTGAATACTCTGATTTGACTAAGGTGTTTAGCAAACGAATGCTACTAAAGTCTCTCCGCATTGTTCTTATGACTGTACCATAGACATTATAGAAGAGGCCACTTTACCAAAATCTAGAGTTTATCCCCTGACTCAAGAAGAAGAAAAGCCATGGGAGAGTACATTGATGAGGCACTGGCACAATGTTTCATTTGTCCCTCAACCTCACCAGCTGCATCTGGATTTTTCTTTGTCAAAAAAGACAGATGGCGGTTTAAGACCCTGTGTTGATTATCGTGCCCTTATTGAAGTCACAGAGAAGTTTGCATACCTTTTACCATTGATCCTGGTAGATTTGGAACAACAGAGGTGCTCATTATTTCACCAAATCAGACCTCCGTAGTGCCTATAATTTAGTCCTGGTTTCATCTGCTTTCATCACCACTAGGGGCACTACGAATACCTTGCAAAGCCTTTTGGGCTCTCTAATGCCCCATTGTCTTCCAATGCTTTATCAATGATGTTCTTAGAGACATAATTGGTAAATTTGTCATGGCCTATATAGATGACATTTTGATCTATTCCCCAGATTATGACACCCATGTCCATCAAGTTTGACAAGTCCTTAAACTTCTACTAGAAAACGATTCGTTCGTCAAAGGGGAAAAGAGTGAGTTTCACCTTCAACAGGTCTCGTTTTTGGGGTATATCATCAGCGCACAAGGGGTACTAATGGACGATCACAAGGTCAAGGCTGTAGTTAACTGGCCCACCCCAACATCTGTGAAAGACTTACAGAAATTTCTTGGCTTTTACAGGCATTTAATTAGAAACGTTTTAAGACTCCAACCGATCAACCTATCAGCGCTCAGCTTTACCTGACTTCTGAGTACACCCACACCTGTTCTTTATTTTACGTGACTGTTAGTTTAGTATATAAGCCCGGGCTTTAGCTTAGCTTCTTTGAAAAGTAGCGTCTCACTATGAGCATACCAAGTGTTTCTCCATTGTCTGTTTATCTTCTTCCATGACCTTTCTTTCCGTCCTGACCTTGATTTTTGCCTTGCCCTTTTGTCTCGTTGTGGATCTCTGGTTTTTGACTTCTTGCTCTTGTTTTTCGACTGTGATTTTGGGTCATCCTTTTGTTATTAACTCAAGCCTCATCTGCGAGCATCTGGTTCCATCTACAGCCGTTACAGTAATTCCTGTGAGAATGCATTTGTTTTTTTAGCATAAATCCATGTAGGTATTTTTGATTGATTAATATATCTCAGTCATTTTTAAAAATATCATAACACAGATGCAAGAAGTGCACCACTACCTCTTTCACTGAATCAGTTGCCTGTATTTCGTAGTCACCAGTTCACTGTTCAAAAGACCATCCATAGAACAAATCAGTTTTAATCAAAACAGCTAAAAACTTGGCTGGATAACTTCTGTAGTACTTTAACCAAGACACTTCTTTTTTTTTGAGAAATATCTACTAGTTACTGTGTTGCACTTTTCACATTAATAGCATTAGCTTCCTAACTAGCTTGTGGCACATTATAGTGTAACAAATGAACTGCTAGTCTTAATACTTGGTAGTATGAATTTATTTTATTCCCCCCACCAAATGTCTGATTTCACATATCGGCTCAAGCTTCGGTGTGCTGGTAAACAGCAGACGTGGCACCAGCAACTGATGTGTGTAGGTGAACTTCCTCAGTCAATCAGTCTTCTTTTTGTAAAACATTTGCAAAACACTCTCAAAAAGAAACAAAATACTGAAAAAGCGATGGGAAACAGACAACCTGTATCTGTAGCTGGTAAACACGTCATTATCTAGCTACACACTGAAACAGATTATTTATGATGATTAATGTGATCTGCTGAGTATAGAAAATCCTCTCTGATTTATTAACTGTGCTTTTGAAGAATTCAGAGAAAAGTATAACCTTTAAACATCTTGACAAACATTAGAGATGGAAATGTGTGGTGTACACTTTTTTATTTTGTTCCTTCTTTTTTATTTCAGTGTCTGAATCAGTTGATCCTCCAGTGAAGGTGAAGCTTCATGACTCTGCTACTCTGTCCTGCTCTGAGAGATGCTCTGGTTTGGTCAGATGGACTGTGTTTCATAAACGCAGTGACACTCTGGCTGAGTGTGATCAGACTTCATGTAGATCAGTGAAGGAGGGATATCAGATGATCCATGATCAGTACCTGAAGGGGAATCTCTCTCTCACCATCACTGACGCTGATCTCACTAAGAGAGGCTGGTACACGTGTGATTGTGATGGTAAAGATCTCTGTGATGTGAATCTTCAGATTGAGCGTAAGTGTTCATCTGGTTTCTTAAATGGCCAGAGATTTGGGTGCAATGACTTGAATCAGATTTGGACATAATTAACAAACTTCCTGATTGTTCTTCTTTTCAGCCTTGAAAACTCAAGTTCAGATAAAGCCTAATGAGTCTCTGGTGATGGATTTGGACATATCAGATCCAGTGAAAGTGATTTATAACAGTTCAGACCCAGCAGGACAATCCAGTGGTCAGATCTGTACAGTGGATGGACGCTCACTACAGTGTAAACCTGAATACACACAGAGAGCGTCTCTAACATCTGTTCTTGAGCTGAGAGCAGTGACTCCATCTGATAGTGGAGTTTATACTGTAATGGACACCAGAAATGAAGAGGTCATTCACATCTACGAGGTGACCATCCAAGGTAGGAGTTCATTCAGAGTGTAGAGAGAGTCAGTCCTTTACTGGTGATGGTGTGCAGACTCGGTGCTGATGAGTGCTGAAGCCCCCTCTGACAATCATTCAGCACCCCCATTAACACCATAGGCTATTTATAGTTTATACCACATGAATGTAATTAGAAAACCGTTTCATATTTCGGTTCCACTCTTTTATACAAAGTACACAAAAGTAGTTTGTGTACACCGGAAGTCCTCCACATTCACTGACTAGACCACCGATATCAAATCAGTCCTGTTTTAGCCTCTAAATCTAAGCACTGAATGACACTCTAAAGCACTGATCTTCAGCGAGTCATGACAAATGTACCCACTGTGCTCTCACGATATTTTTGCTGTGGGTTATTTCTGTTTAGCTGTTTAAACACATCCTGCTTTCTTTTTCTTTACACAATGAAAAGTTCAGAAGTAAACAGTGAAGACAGGAAGGTCCAGTCCCATTTCACCCCTCGCCCCTACCACTGAGCCCCAGCCCTCTGCTTTGCGTGTTCACGTCTAGGGTTAGGGTGTCCCAATTCTTGTTGAGATAGAGGGGGAGGGTGAAGTGTTAGAGCTACATGACCCTCCAAACGGAGGCTTTTCAGAGACTCACTCCAAATAGTGTTATATAAAAAATTTACGATCACCACATATCATGTTTTCTTCATAATAAGCATAAAAAATCGCTAATAGTATGCTAATGTCTCGGTAGCTAGCTAGCTAACTTTCCCGTTCCACCTTAAAAAATCCAGCAGTTTTGACACCTGAAGCGCCAGAATGTAACTGCTGCACCATTTAATGTGGAACGGGGAAATTCGAACAAGAATCTGGTGAATATGTGACTTCAGCTTCATATCACTGAAGAATTAGGGGTGGGTGATAATAAATAATTGCCCCCCTCTTTGAAGTCATATGATGCCCTAAATATAACTAAAGCCCAGCAGTGAGGAGCTGAACTTTACCCTCCTCTGCTGTCACTGCAGACTGGCAGGGTCGCCTACAGAGCAGCGCTGGTAGCTGTTAATACCCTGTAGCTCAGCTCCAAGGGGTTATGGTGACCCTCGAAAACAAGCGGTAGGAGTAAAAAGAGGAAATGGGACTAATTTTTTAACATTCCAACAGAAATGCAGTTAGCTTGTGGCATACAAGCTAAAAACAGGCTACTAAATGTATTGTAATAGTGAGCTAAACGCAGCCTGTCAGAACCGAAGCTGTAGTGCATGAGAGCTCTGTGTAAAATGAGGATTAATGCTGTGTTATAATCATTTACCATTTTATCTGCTGGCCAATCCAGGGGTGGTGGAGTCTATATTTTTGGACTTATGGTTGACCCAGGAGAATTCTCTCCCCATTTGCATGAAGTCTCCCCTCCCTGGTGGCCCTAGGTGTATCACTCCCTTTTTTAACATACGCCACTGGTGGTGTGAAAGAAAAAGAAACTGCAGCTGTGGACTGGAATTTAGTTTCATTTCTCTATGTTACAAATCTGTATGTCTTTTTTTTTTGCAGATCACTCATCAGATCTGGACAGAGATAGAGGACCTGCTGCACCAGTGAGGGTGATTATAGTGCTGGCTGTGATGGGGACTGGGTTTCTAACTGTGACTGTGGTATTAGTGGTATTAGTGATGGTGAATGTGAGGCTGAAGAGAGAAAATCATCAGCTCCGCATGAAAGACACAAAGAACAGAGTGGAAACTAATGAACGCAGTGATTCCACTGAGGAGGAGAAACTAAACGTTAACCCAGAAGTGGAGAGATCATTACCACCCAAACACAGGACGGGTACATGAGAGTAGTTATTCACATGTATCAGGCAACAGTGTCCCTAGGGGCCCACTTAGGGCTTGACTTTTGACTCACAATGGCCTGCCTGCACTGGGCCTGTGAAAATGTGTTAATTTTTGCTCATTTTTTTTTTTCATTATTTAAAATTGTTGGCCTTATGCAGGCAGCCCTAACTTAGCTGTAAAGACAAATTCAATTCAGACTGAATGCACTGGAAAGGAAATTCAAAATTTATATATCATATTTATTTTTTATATATACATTTTGTTTTACAGACTTTGATACTTATTATTTTTAACTAAAAAATAATAACATATATTGAATTCCATGTTTTCTAAAAAGTGTATGTACTTGAAGAAACACTCAAATATAAAGCTAATATTTCTTCCCTGCTGAGACTGGAGTCCCTCCCTCTCCATCGATATGCTGGGTGATGAGTTTGGTGTCAGTGTTCTTTTTAGGTTTATTAGGTTAATTGTTATTGGGGTTTATTTAAGAACCCCTGACCCACAGCACCACTATACACCACTTCTTTGCAAGCAGTTCTAGATAAAAAGCCCAAATATTTCCAAAAACAAAACAAGCATTTTAAAAAGTGGATGCACTCTAATTAATCAGGAGCAACAGAACACTAAAAACATCTCAGGTTCAGATTAGAGCAGACTAGTAGAGAATATCAGCAGGACAGACATTCATTCAGACAACAAAAAGCTACCATTCATGTTCATAGGCTGCTGGTTTTTGTAAAAGACACTCCCCCTTTGCTTCCATTGGCTTAGTTTAAGACATATTGATGATAATGAGTGCAGTGCAGTGATGAGCTCTGACTGCCGGAGAGAAACAGCAGATTTACAACATTCACTCATCTGGAATTCAGCTGTACAGCTTTAGCAAACAGCTTTAGCTTTAAATATTCTGTCCTAAATCTGCTTTCCTTCAAAAGTCTGGCTTCTTCTACCAAAGAGATTTTTCTGTCTGACAGCATACAGCGCTTGCCTTAAAGGGGAACTCCACCTATTTCTAAACAGTTAAGATGTAATCAGAGAGGTTCAGAGTGGTTTGGTGTGAAACGCTCCGTTCTAGAGAAACTTACCGAGTCAGAGCTGTTCACAGTGGTGGTGATAGGAACCAGACGTCCCCCTCTAAAAGCTCCCTCACTGAAAGTTCCTACAGTAAATGGTTATGAATTCACTGCCTGATGACTGAGACACTGTTTTATGATAGTTTAGAGAACTTAAACTCCATTCATGGTGGAGGGATACATGCAGGGCGATGTGAGGCAAAATAGTCCCCAAAGAGAACTTATTATTTCAGATTTTCCACTATTTTCCATCATCAACACTCCATATAAACTCAGAAGACTCGTGTAGGTTCACTGGTGGTTCTGGATAGTAAATAAAATGTCTATATTTGTGTTGTAGTCATGGCGACCCCTGGTTCCTATCACCACCACTGTAAAGACATCTGAACCATTTCACACCAAACCACTCTGTTTATATCTTACACACTCAGTTATTACTGGGGAAGTGTATAAAAAGGTGGATGAGGCAGCTGACTGTCTCTGAGTTTAGATTTCACTAATGAAGCTTCTAAAATATTTATTGATTTTAAGACCTGGTATTAAATGAGTGCGACATAGAATCAGCTTTAGGATGGCAGCTTCTGTAGCGTAATATACAGATTACAGATCTGAACAAGATCTAGAGGAACAAGAGAGTAACATTTGGGGACTTAGAGGGTAAATGTCTGGCATTTATCATGTAATTTTCTGGAACTTATGCTGAAACTTGGCAGTTGTGACAACCCCTTTTATGCATGCAAGTTCAGCAGGTGGGCTTCAACCCCACTTGAAGGGTTTATTCTGCTTCTATTACTTCGCTGTATCATTTTGAATAACAGCATGTGGAGAAATGGCTCTATACTTTGGAAAAGGAGCTTCTGGCAGGCATGTTTGTCCAGCTCTGCAGCAGCTTAGAACAGGCAGGCTGGCCTACACTCTCAGAAGTAAAGGCAGTAAACTGTCACTGGGTCAGTTCCCCTCCTGTCACTGGGGTGGAACCCTCAAGGGTCCATCTCAGTGCCTTTAGTCAGGGAACATAACTGAACCATAATCCACTGAAATGATATGTTCTAAGCTGTACTGACTCCACACACCCCGTCTCGTCTCCAGGCTTTTATTTTACTGTTCTGTTTTAAAACATTCGGTTATGAAAAGGTACAAATACGAACTTTTCACCTGGAAACACTTATTTAAGGTTCACAATCAGACCTTAAAACCACTGTTGGAGCTTTGAGGGAACATTTACACTGTTTGTACCTTGATGAACGAGAAATGTACCTGAACAGAACCTTCATTTCTAACAGTGTATAAAGGAAACTTACTTAGCTGAAGTGCACACCTAAAAAACTGAATCTCACTAATAAAACAAGGCCAAACCGCTCTAACAGATGCCATTTAAAGTAACTAAATGTCCATAATTTAATAAACAGCTTAGATGTCACTGTATAGATACATAAATAAATAAACACCAGTTATAACTTCCAGCCTGTTTATACTAAATAAATAAACACCCCAATGAGGACGGATTATTGAGACCCTCACAGTGGAGTCATGCAGTGTCTCCAGGTGTAACTGTAGTTTATGTAACAGCGCCACCTGCTGGGGATCAAAATCATTTCTAACCAATATAGACTTTGTTTCTGAAAGACAGTGGCTGAAGACGACAGTGCATAATTAATGTGTGTTTTAATGGCTCATACATCATCTGTAATTTTGCTCATTCTTTTTTAATATCACTTCTTTTCACACTGAGATAAGCACACTGCATGCATTTAAAGTGGCTCAGGGAGAAAGTCAGACGTTCATTTTGTTTATATAAATAACAAACACTCTGTGGCAGAGAGATTTACTAAAGAGCTGTTGATGAAATAAACACTACAGTTCCTCTCTGGTTCCACATGGACACTAATAATATACAACAACATACATTACTGTCTATACAAGAGAAGGTTTACAGTTATGTTTACCTATTTACATCACTATACGCCGATCAGGCATAACATTATGAGCACCTCCTCGTTTCTACGCTCATTGTCCATTTTATCAGCTCCACTTACTATATAGGTGCACTTTGTAGTTCTACAGTTACAGACTGTAGTCCATCTGTTTCTCTGATACTTTGTTAGCCCCCTTTTACCCTGTTCTTCAGGGGTCAGGACCCCCATGGACCCTCACAGAGCAGGTACTATTTGGGTGGTGGATCATTCTCAGCACTGCAGTAACACTGACGTGGTGGTGGTGTGTTAGTGTGTGTTGCGCTGGTCTGAGTGGATCAGACACAGCAGTGCTGCTGGAGTCTTTAAACACCTCAGTGTCTCTGCTGGACTGAGAATAGTCCACCAACCAAAAATATCCAGCCAACAGCGTCCTGTGGGCAGCGTCCTGTGACCACTGATGAAGGACTAGAGGATGACCAACACAAACTGTGCAGCAGCAGATGAGCTATCGTCTCTGACTTTACATCTACAAGGTGGACTGACAAGGTAGGAGTGTCTAATAGAGTGGACAGTGAGTGGACACAGTGTTTAAAAACTTCAGCAGCTCTGCTGTGTCTGATCCACTCGTACCAGCGCAACACACACTAACACTAACGCTTTTCCTTGTTTCACATCAGTTCTCATCAGTGCACTGAGTGTTACACAAAAAACAAATAGTCTGAGGTCAAATTTCATGTGTTCATATTCAGATTGTTGCTCCTCTACTGATCACATAGTGTTGCAGTTTACCTAAAGAAACAGACTGTGTGCATAGAAACTAGAAACATCTGCAGAATATCCTCCCTTTCTTCATCGTCTATCAGAACAACAGACGGCGATCTTCTACTGCTTAGTATTTTGGGAAAGTGTCACGTCAGTGTCATATCAGAACTCTTATTTTGTACGTCAGTCATATCAGAACTATTTCATGATTCACTGATTACATCATCTTTGCTGTGTGGAATTCACTGTAAAGGCAGGAAAGTCGTGCTCGTGAATGTCCACAAGGTGGCAGTATAACAGTATAAATGACAGGAATGGAGGTGTAACTGAGTGACTTTAAGGTATTAACAGTGTGCAGTGCTCAGAAATAATAAAGTGCCTCAAATTAGAATTATGGATTTGTACCTGCAGCTACGAGGCTAAAAGCTGGATTATAGTTGACCACAAATATAAAAGACTGCTCACCATCAACTGACTGTTTCATTACACTTTGTTTTGCTAGTTACACACATGACATGAAGCTTACTTGGATCTAGTATCATAAGAATAATGCCAATAAGAGAGCACAGTGGAGTCATTAACGAGGTGGAACTGAATTAAGGTGTTGCTTTCTGTAAGTAGTTTTATTCATTTCAATTCAGAAATCAGATTGTAAATTTTATGTAACTTACATTGTAGTAAGTTACAGTGTAGCTGCTGAAGAGTGGAGATGCTCAGACCCTAAATCAGTGGTTTCTGCTGGAACTGCTGAACTATACTGATCTTCAGTTTGAGGTCTTGCGTTGTGATACTGTTCTGATGTTTTATCTACTGATAGAGATGATTCTGAAGCACAGAGGCAGATCCTTAATCCTTTGGGGTCCACAAACCTGCCCACACGTCAGATTCTCTGTTTCTATATCTGTGTCTGTGTCTTTGTGATGATCCAGCACAGAAATCCAGTTCAAACACTTCCTGAATCTGTAGAGTCGCCCTTTCCATTCCATCTTATCTCGAGATCATACGAGACTCACATCCGGAGTTATGAGCCTATGAAGAGGGGCTGAGATACACGTCATCTGCCTCTCACCATGTGGAACTGGTGGATTGGTGTGTCCGTCTACATTCTGTGTGAAACTGACCAATGGACACTCAGGAAATCACTAAGGACTGACCATCATGCCGATTCTTCATTCGGTCCACATCGGAGACTCATGTGAAACGGCGTGCAGAGAGTTTACAGCTGCTGAAGCTGCTGCAGCGGTTT